GGTTGATAAGGATTTAATATTTTTGCCCTTTCAAGATTAAACTTCCATGTCTTTTGAAAGCAGAAAACTACCCAGTGCTGGCACTGAAATGTTCAGTCTTAAGAGGATCCAGAACATGCAGAGGGTGCTTGGTGCAGTGCTCTAAAGGAAAACAGGGCTGGGTAATGGTCTGCAAACTGTATAGATGCATCGGATATTTGCAGGAGAGTTTGCACAGTGATATTCATCATCTGTGATAGTTTTTTCATGCACGGAATTTGTTCCTCTTCCTACTGAAGATAGGCTTCAAATTTACTTGTGAAAAGTATTAAAAAAAAAACAAAACCAAACCTGCAGCAAAGGTGTCTAAGTTGTAGCATCACCGAAAGTACAGCAGTTACAAGATGGGGTAGAGTGTGTTTTACTTTCCACTGAAAATATTTCTTAAACCTTTAAAGCAGTTTCTGAATCAGCCCTACTGAATCTACAGAGCAAATGAAAGGCAGTCCTTCCCAGGAATCTGGGAGTTTCCAGACTAAAGTAGGAGCATTGCTGTGACGTGTCCCAGTATTAGTGCCTGAGCTTCTTATGGAGAAGAATAATTTGTTCATAGCCCGTGCCATCTGGTGAGGCACTGGGACTTCAAGCTAAATGGAGCGGGATTGTTTGCCCAAGCTAGCAGCACCCTGTCATCGGTGGGAAAATGGCTGAGACTGAGACCCGGGGAGTAGCACCTCAGAGCAATGGGCTGAGGCAGGCTTTGAAGAAAACTGTCCTCATCGACTGGATAAGACACGCTTCCAAGTGACTTGCCTAACATGGGATAGGAGCAGAGTGACCAACCAGGATTCCCCTGCCCCAGCTTGAGCCCTTCTCAGGTGGTGTGCTCAGACCAAGCCACTGGTCTAGAAGTGACGGAGGAAAGGTACTGGCAGAGATGTCTACCTAGTGCACCTCAGTTGACTACCTTAAGGTGGGGCTAACTGCTGGCTGGCAATGCGCTGCGTTCTGCTTTGGTTAGGGAGGCAATGCGGATGGAGCAGCAGGGCCAAGGCTCCTAGAGTTGCACTTGCAGCTCCAGCCGCGTGCCTCTTGTCAGCTGGATCCTCGTGTGTCATAGATGTCTAGATCAATAGTATCTCAGTGATGGCAGTGAACGCTTCTTGTGCTGTTACCATAGGTGAATCCCTCATGATCCTGTGGCCATCTGCTCCCTCTCTCCTTTCCCAAGGGCTGCCAAAGGCAGTGCCACGCTATCGTTCACCTTTGACTAGTGGCGACCAAAGTGATCTGACTGTGATCACCTGGCTGCAGGGGACTTGGATCCCTAGTGTATAAAGCTGGAGTCGAATGAATATGAAACTATAATTGAGCAGCTTATTGGGTCCTTATCCATGCTTCGTGGAGAGCGCTATGGTCAGGATCCAGGCACGCTTCCAGTAATAATTTTTGTTGCACTGTAAATATAAAGCCATCTGTTTCCATTGTGATCTTACGTTTTTGCTGTTCATTTTTTATCAGTTAGAATGCATGGATATATGAGGAAAAGAAGTAATAAAAAGCTTTTGTTATTCAAAATATGAATTTACATTTTGTCTCACTTTTCTTGAATAATATAAGATGATTGAGACCATTGTTTGGTTTGTATGAATCATTTACTGGTTCCCAGTTGTTATCTAACCATGCTGTGACAAGAATACCAAAACCGTCTGGATATGTGGCTTCCCAGCCCCGGGGAATTCTGACCTTGTTGTCCTCCTTGGAGGGTGCTGTTGAAAATAGTGGCACCACCTGTTGGTGGAACACTCAAACTATGAATGATGCTTATTTGCATACTAGGAACAGTAAAACGGAGAAAAGAATTTGAAATGCGTTCCGTATTGCAATTTAAGATTTTTTTTAAAAAACAATCTATTCCATATTTGATACATTGTGTAGAGCATGTCCTCCTTGATTTAAAACAACAGACCCTGCCCCCCACCAAACAAAACAAGAAACCCCCTTAACCTAGGCTTTCTAAAATAATAGTACAGAGCAGATCTTCCTAGTCATTCTGAGTAGCCAGTACTATTACTTTTTTTTACTGTGTTTAAAAGAAAGTATGTACCCACCCTTACGAAACCAGTTTACAACAGGTTAAAGATATTGGGACCTCAATTGTTTGCTCCTCAGTTGTGAAATAACTGGAGCTAAGTTTTTCCTTTCTTCTCTTGTTTTCAGTCTTTCATTTTGACAAATGTTACCACTCCTCTAAAATGAGCCATTTTACTGCAACAGCCTGGTCAGCGCTTGGAAGGCAGTTGTCTGAGCTGCAATGTCTTCGGCGGGAGGACTTGCATTAGTCTCAAGTGGTTTTGGGGTGCCGTGTGATTAATGGCTTCTGGTAGTTGGCTTTGGATGTGCTAGTCACTAATGTTTACATCAGTAGACAGAATAAAAATGACTTGGTTGCATATCGTGAGGCCTGTGTGATGACAGAGCTGGTCAAATTTTGAATTTGTTTAAAAAGCAAACTATTTCTCCTCCTCCGTGATCATTTAAAAAGAAAACCATAATGATGGTGATTCCTGTTTAATAGTCTATTTTCCTTATCTGGGGGAGATAACCGACAGCTGAAGGGTGTTACTCATTGGGACCGGGTACGGAAATGCTGTGTTTCACTGAAGATGTGTCGCAGTACTCTCTTCGCTGCTGTCATGAATAGCTGAACAACTGGAATGGAGCACAGCAACAGCTGTGTAGCCTGGGGAAGGCTTTGTTGTGATGTATAGGTGCTCTTACTATAGCTTCTGTTCATAACCTAGCCTTCTATCCCACAAGTTGAAGAATACCCTAAAAATGTTGTCTGTGGATGTCCCCAGAACATGTTAGGTGGTTTCCAGTGAATCCTCGGCTGAGGAGCTCCCATCCTGTGAGCAGATGGTGTGACCTGCCCGAGCGGAGGCAGAGTTCAGAGGTAGAGCCGGGCACACAAAACGGACCCGGTCACCGTCATGCAGCGTAGCAGCCATATAACTCCTAGAGGAGACTAGAGAGGAGCAGGGAAGAAACCTTCCAGATGAGCTCAGGAATGGAGGAAAATCTTAGAGAGGGTTGTGTGGAAAAAGACTTGGCAGTAGTAAAATAAGTGTCTGACAGGGTTCAGATGAAATGAATACTTTTACTGTTATGGTGCAGTTTTTGGACAGAATAATACTTGAGTAAAATGCATAATTGCAGGCAAAAATTATTTGGCTGGAGGGGTTTTTTTGGTGTTGAGCTTAACACGCGAGCTGTCCAAATTTATAGCCATTGATTGAGATGTCAACATTTATAATAACAATAGCAGCATTTAAACTCCTACTGAACACTCAGATTGTTCTATGCTTTGAAAGTGTGTCGAGTTGCTTTCAGCTAGAAAAGCAAAAAGCGGAACGTAAAATATTTGAAGCAAAAATAGCAGAAAATGTATATAGGATACTCTGGCCCTTTTTTAGCCTTTGTTAGCATAGGCAATGGAAGGATGGTCAGTGGAAATGCTGACGTGATTAGACTGCTAGCACTTGCAGGGTCACAACTGAAGAAAAGCAAAGCATGAGGATAAATCTCATTAGGTTTTGCCACTGTGTTATTACAGTTCAGTTCTTTGGCTAACAATGAAGTTATGATTGCCCTCTTATTCCTGCACATCCTTTTCCTTAAATAAGCATAGATCAAAACTGCCCATATGCTTCTAGCATTCTCATGCAAAAGGAGGCATGAGGGCTCACAAATAACTGAGAGCTGATTCTGAGACTGGAATGTGTTTGCTTACTGTCTGTGTGGGTGGCAAAGTGTCCATAAATGTTTTAGCACAGTCTAGCTCGCTCTTAGTTTCAGTACAAGATTTACCACTGATCTGTCCGTCCAGCAACGGCACAGAGGATTTAACATTCACAAGTGAAAAACACTTTTGGAAGAACTCATTCCTTGGTAATCCAAGGGCAAGTTGCTGCTAAGTATGACCGAGTTGTGAGGTGGACACTTTAAACGGAGATCAACACCAGGAGGAGATACTGGGTGCTACTGGTGGATGTCCCGGCAACGCAGTGTGACGGCTTTTCTCAGTTTTAAAGCTTCGCTGTAGTGAGCGGTAGAAGTTTCTTCTGTTGTGATCAACCACGTTTGTCTTACAAAGGGTATAATTACAAATTTTGTCTTCTCACAATGTGTTTCAAAGCCTAGTAGATGTTTTGTTTGGTTCCATGTTCTTGTAGCTCAGCTTTGTCTGTAAAATGCCCTGACACTTCAGCACTGCAGTCTGCTGCTGTCTTGTGTGCTACAATAATGAGGCACTGTGTGTGTACGCTGGGGTTTGCAGGGCTTCTAGATATCTTCCTTCTCAAATCCTACCGAGCTTTTTCTTCAAGCATTACAACAATGAAGAAAATGCAAATATAAACTTTGAGCTCTTTTTTTTTTTTTTAACACAAACAAAGCGATTTGTGGGACAGGAGTGAATCTTTCCCACCCAGGGTTTCAGGCAGCAGTAGTTTGAACAGGAAGTGTTAAATTTAAGTGGAATATCACTGAAACGTTTTAGTGAGAAATGTATTTTTTCTCATGTCAGTTTGATGCTGCTCAGAGTTTTAGAACAGTTGGTAGAAAGATAGTCAGCAAAGGGCGTAAAAGATAGTCAAAAGTGCTAGCTAAATATGCTTACGTTGCTCTTTTTCCGTGGATGAAAATGTGTCTGTCTGGATCCACAAATTAGTATCAGTGAAGGATTTGGTCAAAACACTTGATTTTTTTGAAAACTTCTAAGAAATTTGAGATCATAAGGAATGATAGCAATGAGAAATGCCATTGCTGTTTGTTAGTTATTGGCCTAACTTCTGTTAGGAGTTGATGAGAATTGCCACCACAATCAAATTTCAACATCACCCAGATCGTGGATGCAGTACCTGTTTGATGCCATCACTCTACCTTTTCCTTGTAAACAACCACTTAACGTGCAATGGCTTGAAAATACTAATGCTTTGTTTGTTTGTTTTTCTTCGCAGGCTGGAATGGTGTTAAGATGTGGATACTTCTGGTTTGGCTTGTTTCTCGTGCCCACTGCGTGCCTTGTTAAAGACGTGGCATGGACAGCGTAAGTCCCAAAGCAGTCCTCTTGGTATTACAGGAATTATTCTGTATGCACATGTCCAGTCCAGTATTGTTGTGTAAAAACCTTTGAAGCCTTTCAGTGAATGCAAATTGTCAGCTGCTCTTTAGGTTCTCCTTCAACAGTGGGTCTTCCAAGACTTAACTGAGAGAAGAGCAATACTCTGCACTCTGTGGTTTAAGTAAAATCTTAATGTTTCCTTCCCTGCCCAGAGAGGAAGAGCAACCCTTGTGAAATACAAGCCTGTGTAATCCCTTTGTCTCAAAACTCTGGGGTTTCAAAGCATTGCGGAAGGCAAGCAGTTTCAAGAACTTTGGTTTAAAGAGAAGAAACTTACCTGCTCTACCATTGCAATTTGAAATGCAGAAGTATTGTTTTCATTTAGAATTTTTGGTATTCTGTTCAGCTTGCTTTTAAGTCTCTTAAGCACCAAAGCTTTCATTCTTTCCTTTGAAAAGCTATGTTTCAACCAAGAAGCTTTTATTACATGGATACTTCATAACCGTGTGCAAGGAGGATTTGGGGCATTCCAACTCTGGGGCAAAAAAGCAGATCCTAGCTGGAGTGAAGAGGGAATATAGGTTAGTTTGTCACTTGTCACAGAGGCTCAAAGTGAAAGCATCGTAACGCATACCACTCTTCTCCAGGAATGAGGTGTCGCTCAGCCAACGAAGATTCTTAGAATCATATAGCATCATTTAGGTTGAAAAAGACCTTTAAGATCGTCGAGTCCAACCGTAAACATACCACTACCAAGTCCACCAATCTTCTTTACAGAGAAATGCAGAAAATACTGGAAAAAACAGAAAGTTACACACACAGACACACGTTTCAAATACCAGCAGAAAAAGATAAATCAGGTCATATGCGTATCTGAAAATCCTTTTTTTCTTCGTGTGGTGTTCATAGCACAGCTAAATTAAACTGGCAGTAGGCAAATTTACCAATCAGTAAGTACTTCTTAAATGTTTTCCTGTTTTCTTCCTCAGCTTAATTTTCATGAGCTACACTGCTAAAATTAAAGCTAGGTATCATAATGTAAAATTTCTGTTCAGGCCAAACTATGATTTAATAGTCTAGCACACTAGAGGGTTTTTTGTTACACCCATTAAACTTCTCCAATTGAAAATTATTTAAAAATTCTAAAGCTGAGGCCAAAATGTTTAAATTTAGATTCTGTGTCTATGACCTGCTTTTTAAAGTTCTGGAAAAAAAATCTTAGAATTCATTTAGCATAACAGACCCTGCTCCTGTATCAGACTTTAAATAAAATTACCTGCTTAGAAGTCAGTGGGACTATTTTTGTGATGAAAGCTAAATAGGAGCTGAACTGTTTGCAGCATTAGGGATCAAATACATATTTAGGCATCCAAGATTACACTTTAGTTTTTGAATTGTTTTCATGATAGTTGAATGTCCTGAAGTAGTCCTCTTTTCTTATCAGTTCTTGGCAAAAATAACTCAAGAATTGTAAAATACGCCAGACCAAGGCAGGCTTATCCTCAGCTATTACTCATTTGAAGCTCTGTTACTGACTCAGCCTGTTCTTTAATATTTTTTAGAGAAATCTCAGCAACATAATCCTTTCAGTGGTTCAGACCAAGAATGTGCAGAGATTGTGAAGCTCTCAAGACAAACGCGTATGATTGATAGACTAGATATTTTCCCAACAGATTTTAAACAGGAGGCTCCTATCAACATTAAGCAAAAAATCTGTTCTCTGAGTAGGACTTCATTTTTTCTTTCTTTCTTTTTTAACCTATCACTGAAAAATTAACACCATTAACATTTTAACTAGGATAAATGAAATGACACAGCTATCGGGGCTGCCATATGGAAGGAGTAAAGGTCTGTTTCCTTTCCAAGAGGCCTGCCATTTAAAACTTGAGCCCAAGCCCTCTGGAAATCAGCCGGCACATTTCCACAGCAGTGGTTACACCACGTTGCTGTCTGTAATTCAGCAGAATCTGGTTTTGGCCATAAAATTCCACCAGCTCTGACTTCTCATGGTCATGGAATTTATCCCTTTCAGTTTCTTTTGGACATGAAGCATATGTCTGCAGAAAGAGCATCAATGTGACCAAGCAGGTACATGCCTAATTTCAGTACAAAATACTGCCAGAAAATCATAAATATGGTGCAGAGTTTTTTGCCTGGAAGAAGGTTAAAAGGGACAGGAATGTGCGTTTCAAACCCATACAAATCTTTGTTTCTAAACTGCTGTGCTGCATCCACTATCAAAACTTGTAATGCTGGAGCAAGAGCTAGTTTTACATGTTCCCTTTGTTACACAGGCTACAGTTGTCAACACACCTCTTATCTCCATGTTCTCTGCAGCTTCAGGCTTTTTTTTTTTGCTTTCTTTCCCTAAGTGAATCAAGAAAATGTGGAAAACTTTCTTTAAAAAGAGGAGGAAGCTTATTATTAATTCTTGGCTTCAGTATCACGTTGTTAACTTTGCTCCACTACCCTGAAGTAGGTGGCTTGGTTTGGATTTGGTTTTTGCCTTATAAAAGCCCCAGTCGTGCTACCATTGAAATGAACAGAGCTTTATAAGGGGAATGCTTCCTCACAGTTGGCACATGTCACTTGAATAAGTGTCACTGGTGCTAGGAAGTCTTGAAATAACTGTGCCACAAAGCTGTGTGGGAATCATAAAAACACAGAGTGTATTCCAGCAAAATTAGGCAAGAGGGCAAGAATTTATTAATAATTGGTGTCTCAATACTTAATGTTACAGTGAGAAACTTCCAGAGCTTTCCAATCATTACCAAAATCTAAATGTACTCTTTTTAACGTGGGGGAAGAAGCATGTTGCACTTGCCAGCTCCGCAGTGTAAATAAGAGAGAAGGTATGAGGACCTCTTCCCATCCTTGCATATGCTTGCAGGAGCACAAGATTCCTAAAATGGTGTTGAGGACAATGAGCCAGGGTAGAGGTGTCACCACGTTTGAGAAAAGGTTATGAATGTAACCACGCTTCTCCCTGGCAGATTCTGGCCTCCCAAACCTCCTAAATAGCCTCCTAGGGCAGGGAAGCGAAGCTGTGCACTCCCCTGGCTTGGAAGGGAAAGGGCCACCCAAAATGCAAAGATAACCCTTTGCCTGTTCTTATGATCCGTGATCTTAATACCCCAGTGTGTGTGTGAGGGAAAGGTGAGTTTATTTTTGTGTAACGCCTCAAATTTCAGCTGAACAGTAACATTGAACACAAGGTCTCATAATTTATTGAGGACTGATTGCGCATCTAGGGCCACTTGTAACGTACAAGGTAAAAGCTAGGACCTCTACCTGTACTTCTGTGTATCAAAAGTTAATAATGTGCTGTTGTGAAAGCCATGAAGTATCCAGTCCTGCCGCCAGCAGTCCGTGGAATATTTGCAGTTGACTTTGATGGGAGCAAGCCCAGACTCTGAGGCAATTGTAATACCTATTTTAGTATTTGGCTTTGGAGAAACGCGTGGATAAGCTAGCTTGGGCCCTTTTTATAACTGCTTGATTACTGACTCTTCCATGGATGCTGTTGCTTCCAAGTGGAGGAGTGACTCAATGCATAACTATTACCTGCAGGTTTATTGTTGTTTTATGGATACCCAGCCACAGCAGAGCCCATATATTTCATCATTTCACACTACTTACAAAATATTTCAGTACCCCCAACTTCAGGACAACAGTATTTTTTCCATATTGTGAAATATCAGTGCAATGCCTCCTTGTGCTGTGCTGCACTAATCGGGCTTTGTTGCTCAGGCTCCATTCTGTTAAATTTTGAATTCAATATTCACGCTAAGGGAAAAGAAAAACATCTCTCATCTCTTATGATGTATGGCAAGATAAACATGGAACCTTGGGGAGATTGAATAACTTGTAGATTTCTGGGTTCTTGTCGTGGGAAAAGTGGTTATAAAGGTTTTTAAAAGTTCTAAATACACTCAGTCATCAAGTTTGCAGTAGTAGGTACAGCCTCTTTAAAAGGTAAGCGATGCGTTCAAGGTCAAAATTTCAATGTATTTACTCAAAGAGTGTGATAGTGAAATCTGCTGTAAAGATTATAAGAATTAATAGCTCAAAGCTTTCTCATTTTAATCGCTGTAGGTTCCCTTCCTCAAAGAGGACACCAGTCTAATCATTAGCCTAACTAGTTACAGGAACTTGAATCTAATTAATTTCTGTGTAGCTATTGGTAATCTCAGATTCTTGAAACATTATGCATTTTAAAAATATTCTTGCTACTGATTTCTTCTGTCACAGTATGTTAGTGTTCCCTTGCAAACCATACACCTTTAGTGGTTTGTTTTAATAGGGTTGCTCTTCTAAGTACATCCTGATACTCTTTATCTCCAGATTTTGCTATGCTTCATCTTTTGTTGTTCTCTTTTTTCCTCTCTTAAATACAGATGTGTTTTGAAAAGTAGTTTTCATTTTAGCTTCTCATTTTGAGACATTTGGGACCTAATTCAGCAACACAGAGACCAGAGGACTTGGATAACCTAGTATTAATACCCAGGCACTGACATCTAAAAGAGTATCAGCAAAGAATTTGTGGTCTTTGTTTCTTATTCCCCGTGGAAGGAGTAATAAGAATCATGCTTTTTAAAAATAAATGCATCTTCATTATATTTTAATTACATATACTCCAGTTATTATTTTTCTGCTGGAGGGAGATTGACATTGGCTTACATCATTGCTTAAAGATTATAGTATCTGCATGTAAGATTTTTATAAAACTTGTAAAGAAATTTTTGCCATCTCAAGAGTTGAGAATATTGTCTTAATGCCATGAAGCAAGTGGTGTCTCGGCCGACTTGGCTCCATCTTGTTTTCAGGCTTATTGTGCAGTTACATGCAAATCGATATTATCTCATGGGACATTTGTCCTCCTTTAAGTGACACGAAAGAGGAAGCCTATCAAAAACTGTGCATTGGAGAAAGATCCCTGCCTCTTGTATTATTGTTTTGTACATGTCACGACAGAGGGGACTAGATTCTCTCCTTATATCAATGTAATTTAGGCATCATAACACTGGAGCAGTAGGTAAAACTGGGAAACAAAGGCCAAAGTCTCTTCATGGGGGACATTGCTCTCCAAATTTTGATGGCATGTGTGGTACATGGATTGCTCTTTGAATCCCCAAGCTGGGAAAATAGGACACAGCTAGTCTTGTTACTGTCACTTTGAAAGCTCAGTGGGGAGAGAATTGCCTTTCCAAGTCATGTGAGACTGATAAATGAAAATAAAGGGGCTTGAATGGCAATTATTATCTGAGACTCTTCTCAGGTTTTCAGAGCAGTGCCACGCATAGCTCAAAAGACAGAGTCGAATCATGTTTTACAGCCATGAATATTCAATGAATCCCAGCTCTTTTGTCTGAATGCCCGGGTCCTGAGCAGTCCCACGGCAGCCGTGTCAGGTCTCCATAGTCCCGTAGCTTTGCTGCTTGGTTAGATTTTGAGTGTCGAAGCAGCTGAGCTCTGCTGAATTTGAAGTCCTTCTCATTTCTTATGTAGTATTTCCCAGGTATTTTTAACCTGAACTGACATGCATATGCTGTGCCTTATTTCCCAAACCCTCCAAGGGAAGGCCTTGTGCTTCTCATCCAAGAGGTAAAATTAGGGTTTTCTAGCAAAACAAATGTTCACGTGGCTTTTTTATGTTGTTTCTCTTTTTGTCTTTTCCTTGTGGTACAGGGCCAAGCATACCTACCATAAAACTTTGCTGGAGCAAGTTCAGGAGTTGGAGACGAAGACGAGAGAGCTGGGAAAAGCCATGCTTCGTGATAGCAATGGAAAGAGGTGGGGCAAGTCTGTGCTGATGTTTAAAACAGACCCTTCTTGTCCTCTCTCTTATTTATTTCTCAGTCACTATTCAAATCTGATTCCAGACAGGATAAGAAGGCTTCTCTCCTGTATTACTCATTTCTTGTTGTTCCTTTTCATGTATGTTGCTGCCACTGAAATCAGCACTTCCACTTTCATTTGTCCTGCAGTATTGCTGTGAGGCTGTATTGGAAACTGCTGCTCAGTCTCCTGCCTGGTAACATGTAGTGCTATTTATTACGTGGCCACTGGGCCAAACTGGTTTTGAAAGGACTTTTATGTATGTCATCAAAACAACAACAACAACAAATTTCAATCTGATAACCATGTCAGGGAGGGAACTGTCTGCAACTCAGGATATGAAGATTGTAGCTAAAAGGGGAACTGGCTAATCCAGTGTGCCCTACAGCTGCATTCAGTCTCACCTTAAGGGGTTTTTTTATGCTTTTGCTTTTTTTTCACTGCAACTTACAGGCCCCTGCTTTCAGGGTTCTCAGTTTCTTGTTGTGCCTCTCCCTTCTATCCACACCATATGGACTTGAACATATTGCTATTATTGAATCTTTCATTGTAAGGGGAGAGTATGTGTTGTGTGGGAACTTTTGTCTCGTGTGAAAGAAGCTAAAGAAAATCATAGTGAGGCTTTTGCATCCAACAGTTTCATCTGCCATCTCAGAATGTGGTTCTGCATCAGCTGGTCGGAAAAGCTCCCCAAGTTCAAAAAGGTTTTAGAACTAACTCTTCTGTTCCTTACACAATATGGCACCACATGACTTGCTAAGAAACTACACGATCATTAAACTGGATTTTAGCAAACCTTATAAACTAGCAAACTGAGTGGAATGGGCCTTTTAAAAAGATTTTGTTCTTCTGGGGCAGGGTCATCCTTTGAGCCTTTGATGTCTATTCTAAGGTAAACTAATTGCCATATTGTAGCTGCTGCTAAGACGAGCGGATAGTAGTTTTTTCAGCTGAACTTGTGAGTTAATAAGCACTATTTTTAGGGAAAATTATCAGGGAGTGAGTTTACCAAGATTATAGTAAACTGAAAAGCTTTAAACCATGCTTGTGTGAACTTTAATGTGTTTATAAGATGTCCTTAGTGACCAGAGCTCACTTCTCAGAGGCCGAGACAAAGTAAACACAGTGCTATTGATTAAAATCACTTCAAAACACTTGGTATGGTCAGTTTTTATTTTGAGTAATTTTTCTGCTGTGACTTCTGGATCCTACAAAACCCAGTTTATAAATTGTGTTCACTTGCAAAAGTTGCAAACTGCACATCAAATCATTGAAAAAGAAAAAGCAAACTTTGCAGCGCTGGTCAGCAACGGCAACCTTCCGTGCCACAGTTAAAACCAACAAAGATGCCTAAAATCAGGCATTTAATTAAAAATGCGCTTTGTTTTTAGAGGGCTGAGGAGTCACCTTGAAGTCAATTGGAGCCAAAGTGCTTGGTACCAAAATCCAGTCAGCCTCCCAGGCAAGAAAGGTGTAACTTGGTGTTGTGATGCTAAGCAAGTGGAATCTAGGCCAGCAGAGACCTGGCGGTTCCCAGGCGCGCGGCTCTGATATGAGCCCTTGGCTGTTGCTGTGGTTCTTGTCCATGCGCAGGATGTAAAGCTGCACTGGTGTTGGTTTGTAGCATTAGTGGTTTCCTGCCAGTATTTAGTGCCAGCTATTGACAGCTGGAGAGGGGAGCGGGTCAGCTTTTTGCCTGATGGATCCCTGGGTTGCGAGGCGGGTTGACATACAATAGTGAGAGACACAGTTAAGCATTCTATCTGTTTATATGTGCCTCCGAGAACTCGATGGGTTTCTTCTTTGTTTATGCACTGTCCTGACTTTCTATAAATTTAATGGCCATGTTGTAATTCATTCATACACTACATGTTTTCATAGCCTTTTGTTTTATTGCGTTCTCACTGCAAACTCTTTCATCTGCATTCCTCCTCCGTATAGCTTCACTTCATTCTCGAAACGCTTGCATGGAGATGATGTAAGGAATCCCTTCTGGCTCTCCTTCCCATTCTCCCTCCCCCCTTCTTTCCATGCATTTGTTTGTTCTCCTTCCTAATTGCTCCCAGATTTTCTGGGTGGTCCATCTGTGAACTAGATAATGGTAGAGTGCCTCTGCCTGCTCGGAGCTGGTGTGCTGTGCTTGTGATGTGGCCTCCTGAGTGCTCTTCAGAGTTGTTCTGTCTTTTATCTCTTTTGTTTGTCTCCTGGCTCTTTCACACCTGCTAGAAATCCTGTGCTTGTCCAAAGGGAAGAGTGAGGGTGGGAAAGACGCAGAGGGGGAACTTTCTGCAGTTACAGCTTCTCTGGTTCATGTTCTTCATTTTTTAAAAATTTCCTTGAAGCCGGTGGAAACAAGCACTGAGCCGTGTGTGCTGCTCTCCCATCCTGCCTGCAGCCCCGTCGCTCTTGGGATATTTCTGTGATGTGACATTATGCAGGAAGGGAAAGTAACCAGAGTCTCCTCATTTCTAATGGAAATTAAAACTGCACGGATCCATCACCTCCAAGTAACAGCGTTAGCTCTTGGCTGGAAGTATTCCTGAAAACATACCCATTAGGCGTTGGTTTGTTCAGGCAGCTGTAAAAGATAAGCTGACTGTCATCAGGGTCTATTTTCCTGGCCCACATAGCAGACACTATTTTTGTTCAGTGTTTTTCACAAACGACGACAAAAAAAATCACACCCTGTTTACAGATAAGAGAAGGATTTAGGGAGCTAATTGCTTTTATCATTGCCTAGACCTTAGACAAAAAATGAAGTGCAAGATCTGAATGTTTAGGATTAATCTGCTAAACAAAAAGCAATTCACAAAGCCCAGAAAGCAGTGAGTGCGTCTAGGCTTGCACAAGATGCCAACAGCTTGCTGTGGCTCAGCTGAATTTCTGTAAAATGCGAGCAGGATAGCACCTGGGTCCTCCCTGCACGGGGGGAAGGAGCGCTGGGGGATCTGCACATGCCACTTGGTACCGAAATACGCAGATCCTGTCTTAGAGGGTCTTCACCCTGTCAACTGTTCTTGCTAGACACATTTTTCCAGGTTAATAAAAAATGTCTTCGCTAGCGCTTGTTACATCCTTCTGAATCTTGGCCCCTTTGAGCAGTTTCTAAAAATGAATTTGCTTGTATCGATCAAAAAAAAGCAGGTGCAAATTTTCGCCTTACCAATGGCAGGGAGCAAACAGCAAGTGGTAGATCAGGGAGCATCTGTTCTGCGCAGGGAAGAGTGTCAGCACCCTGAGCACTACAACTGGGTCCCAAAACTCTTGCAAAAAACATTAGAGTGATGCTTGGAGAGTCTCAAGTGTATTGTTTTGAGCTGTAAAGGGTCATGTTCTCATTTCTCTGGATATCTCATCTGGACAGCTAAAATCTTTTCATGGAAGCTGGGATGATCTCAAAATCGGATGATTCCAGGAGTAGGGGATTTCATCAGGGGAAACAAGTATCTGGAAAACTGGCAACTCCAGAAATAGCTTGAGGAGCAGAGGAGGGAGCGCGCGGTAAGGGGCTGGTGATGGATCCCATGCCACGCTCGCCTGCTGGCTTGTGGAAGATGAGTCCCTGCGCTCGCCCTCCCCAGTCTGGCACCCGGCAGTGCCGGGCTGGACTCCAGCCCAGCCGCGACGTGAACAAGCCTTAGTGCGGGAAGGGAGAGAGGGGCTCCCTGGCACTCTCATGTAACAAAAGGCAGGATTTAACACTAAATTTACATGAATTTGGAGAGGTGAGAGGGGCAGCTCGTGTGCCAAAGCAAACACGGACATGTGGAGACACCTGCCCAGCAGACCTAATCATGTTAACATGCAAGATTTACACAAAGAAAACAAACAGTTCTTCTACAGGTTTGTGTTCAAAAGTGGCATTGAGTTCAGCTGCAGAGATTTTTGTGTCTTTAAATAAGTTTACAACTAAATCTTGGCTCATAAAGGGCCAAATCTTCAAGTCCTCATTCACTTTTCACTCCATCTAACCTCGCATTGAAGTCAGCAGGAGTTCAGGTGGAGTAAAGCCTGATTAGGGACCAAAGCAAACTTTACTTTGGAACCCCGTGTCACTTTATTGCTCCACTGGCCAGCTAGTGGAGAGCAAGCAAAGCTGTGCAGCACCCTCTTTGTGACAGTAGATTTCCCGTTTCAGAGGGTTTCTCTGTCTTGGAATTGCCAGAATTCCCTTTGAAAGTACTTCTTTGGTTGTTTTTCTGTTCTGTTTTTAGTTGGTTGGTGGCCAGAATTAGATTATTTGATACTGAAGAACAATGTAGCTTTCACAATTTACATCCTTTACAAGGACCTGAAGGGCCTGGCGGGGATGTGGCAGAAAAGTGCCTGCATCACTGAAGTGTTGGGAAATTCAAATTATTCAGAAATCTGGAAGGCAGTGTCTTGTCTTTAACGAGGGTGAAGGGAAGCGACTACAGAACTAGCGAGGTATAGCTGGGAGCAACAAGGAAGCACTGCGGTGTGCTTTTGCGCCACATTTTCAGTGTGCCTTTTTGTTCTTGCTGCTTTCAGATGCCCACTAATGATAGTGGGCCGCCTCTTTTTAATCTCCGTTTTGTAAAACAAATACTGTTTTCCAGTGTACCTAAACCAGCAGCTCCCCAGTCTCTCCACTGTCTGCCTTCAACAAGGAGGCACGCTGGTGGAGATTCTCTTTCATTTAAGTGCTTCTCACCAAATCTAACTCTGTTGCTTTAGGGAAACGTGCATGACCAGCTCTCCCCCCCCGAGAGTGAGCCGTCTTACTTATCTTAGCATCGTTTTTATTTGGTGGGTGAGGGCAGATGCCCGTGTTGTTTCAATAGCTGCGTGACCCGATGGGTAATCAGTCTGCTGACACAGGTACCCGTGGAGACTTGCCCACTCCACAGGTCCCTGGGGAGGAGCAAGAGGAGAACGTGGGAAACTTGACTCGGGCTCGTGGCTGTGCACGGAGCCGAGAGCAGCGGAGCCGT